GACTAGAGCTGGCAAATATATTGAACTTCCAGAATGGATTAAAAAGAAAAAGGCATGTATCAATATTAAAAATCAAGATGACAAGTGTTTTAAATATTCTATTGAGTGTGGATATTGTAAAATTTGTGATAAAGCACACCCTGAAAAGATGTTTCATTACAAGAAGATAGAAAGTGATTTGATTTTTGATGGTGTGAGTTTTCCTGCTAATAATAATGATATAGATATATTTGAAGAAAATAATAAATCAATATCCATTAATGTTTATGAAATTGATGATAATGAACAAATTGTTATTAGTAGAAAATTGAAAAATAAAGATGCTTCTTTTCATGTTGATTTATTAAGAGTTGATGATGAGGATTGCAGTCATTATGTGTATATAAAAAGTTTGAGCAGACTTATTAATAATCAAAAAAGTAATCATAATGGTAAGTCCTATTTTTGTAAATATTGTAATCATGGATTTAGAAATGAAGAATTATTAAATAAACATTATGATAGTGGATGCATGGAAGTTGAAGGACAACAAATAGTAATGCCTAAGCCTTATGAGAAAGTGAGTTTTAAGCATCACTTCAAAAAGTTAAGATGTCCTTTTGTTGTATATGCTGATTTTGAATGTTTGACAGAGGAACTGAAAAAACCTGATGAAGATGAAGATAAAAACACTTTTTCTTATCAAGAGCATAAACCATGTGGTTTTATGCTTAATATGGTTAATGCTGTTGATAATACAAATTATGAATTTATGTATCGTGGTAAAGATGCTGTTGATGTGTTTTGTCAAAAACTTAATGAGATTAGGACAGAAGTAAAGGAGAAGATGGGAGAAAACAAAAAAATAGATATGACGCTCGGCAGAGCCTCGCGTGACTACGCGACTGATGAAGACAAAGAAGATTTTAAAAATGCTAAAAACTGCTTTATTTGTGGGGATAAGTTTAGAATGAACTATAAGAATGCCAAGGAAGCAGAGAAATATAGAAAAGTTAGAGACCATTGTCATTTTACAGGTAAGTATAGAGGTTGTGCTCATAATGTTTGCAATCTTAATTTTTGTAATAGATATTTTAAAATTCCAGTATTCTTTCATAACATGAAAAATTATGACGGTCATTTAATTATTCAAAATGCTGATAAATTAAGTAACAACAATAAAATAGGTGTCATCGCTCAGAACAGTGAAAAATTTATTAATATCAGTTTTGAAAGTTTGAGTGTTAAAGACACTTTTGGGTTTTTAACTGCTTCATTAGATAAGTTAGTTTCAATGAGTAAGTATGACAATACAGATGAAGAAGATAAAAGTAAATGGTTATTGCGTGAAAACTGGAAAGATAATTTTAGGTTTAGTAGTAAAAATGATTTGATTAAGAGTGAGAAATGTCTAGATTTGCTGACTGATAAAGGCGTTTATCCTTATGACTACATGAATTCATTTGATAAATTTGATGATGAGCAATTACCGAGTAAGGATGATTTTTATAGTCAGTTGAGTGAAGAAGGTATAAGTGTTAACGACTATGAAAGGGCAAAAATTATATGGAAGCATTTTGACATTAAGAATATGGGTGAATACCATGATTTATATTTGAAAACTGATGTATTATTATTGACTGACATTTTCGAAAATTTTAGAGATGTATGTATGAAATATTATGGATTGGACCCTGCTTATTATTATACATTGCCTAACTTTGCTTTTGATGCTATGCTTAAAATGACTGGTGTAGAGATTGATTTAATATATGACCAAGAAATGTATGAAATGATAGAAGCGGGACTTAGAGGCGGGATGTGTATGGTTTCTACTAAAAAAGTTGAAGCAAATAATAAATACATGGGAGAAGAATATGATAAAAATAAAGAAAGTAGTTATATTAACTATTTTGATGCTAATAATTTGTATGGGTTAAGCATGATACAAAAACTGCCATATAAAAATCTAAAATGGGATGATACATTAAAAGAAGAAGACATTATTAATTACAAAAATAATAATATTGGATATATTCTAGAAGTTGATTTAGAATATCCTAAAGAATTACACGATTTACACAATGACTATCCAATGGCACCTGAGGTTATGAATGTTAAAGCCGACATGCTGTCAGATAAACAAATTGAAATTTATGAATTTTTAAATCATAAAAAACCTACGGATGAGAAAACAAATAAATTAGTATTGAATTTAAATGATAAAGAAAAATATGTAATCCATATAAGAACCTTACAATTTTATTTGAAGCAAGGGTTAAAACTTAAGAAAATTCATAGAGCAATTAAATTTGAACAAAAAGAAGTTTTAAAACCTTACATTGAGTTTAACACTGAGAAGAGGAAGAATGCTAGAAATGATTTTGAGAAAGATGTTTACAAATTGATGAACAATGCCATATTTGGAAAAACAATGGAGGATAAGCGAAAACATTTAGACTTTGAAGTTGTGAGTGATGAAACTAGATATATGAAGTGTGTAAGTAATCCTAACTTCAAACATAGTCATATCATTAATGAAAATTTGGTTGGAGTTGAAAAGCAAAAAACAAAGTTGAAACTAGACAAACCTATATTTATTGGGATGAGTATTTTAGATTTGAGTAAGCAACACATGTATAAATTTTATTATGACGTTATGAAGCCTAAATATGGAGATAATATTAAAATGGTATATACTGATACTGATAGTTTTGTATTTCATACTAAAACCAATGACATTTATGAAGACCTTAATTCAATTAAAAAAGAATTAGATTTTTCAGATTATCCTAAGGAACATAAATGTTATGATGATAATAACAAGAAAGTATTAGGTAAATTTAAGGATGAATTAAAAAGTAAAATAATAACAGGGTTTATAGCTCTTCGTCCTAAATGCTATGCTTACTCAGTTTATGGTGATGATAAAAAATATAAGAAATGTAAGGGAATAGCAAAAGGCACAGTAAGACGTCAAATGAAATATGAAGAGTTTGAGACGGTTTTAAAAACTAATGAGGTTATACATAAGTCATTTAATAGTATTAGAAGTAAAAACCACAGAATTTTTAGTATAACAACTAAAAAAATTGCTCTTAGTAGTTATGAAAAAAAAAAAAATATTGGATAGATAGTGTAAACTCACTTGCTTACGGCCATTATAAAATAAATTCTTTGAAAACGACTTAAAGAAATATTGACTTAATATATTAAGAGGAAAAATGACACTGTTTAATTATAGTAAGTGTGAATGTTGTAATAATAAAAAGAATGATATTAATTTTACATTGTATAACTTATTACCTGCTAATCTGTGTAATAAAATAAGTGAATATGATGTATATTGTAATCAATGCTGTATAACAAGAGACCTTGAAAAGTTGTTTGTTGAAGAATATAAGGATAAGGGATATACAAAGTTTCAATTAAAATTGAAATTCTTTATGAAATATCGAAAACGATTTCCTGTATATTTTTGTCATAAAATTGATAGAGAGTCATTTGAAAAAGAACTTGATGAGTTTTTTAATAATAAAGATTTGATTAAAAGGTTTGGAGGAGAACTAAGCATTAAACCGTATAAATCATTTGCTAAAGAATTTCGTGATTTGTTTGAAGAGATTGATTGGCATTTATTAAGCAAAGATAAAATAAACAAGGTCTTGAATGAATTTAGAATAACTAAATATCATGTATGGTATTACTACAACACTAAATATAAAGTATGTCTATTGCTGAATTTATTCTTTTGGGAATATATTTATTCAATAATAGGAAAAGACAATATCAAATATATAGACATTGGTGATATTGATAAATATGTAGATTACATATTTGAAGACATATTGCCTGACTGTTATCTTAAATCCTTAATTCTTAATTGAAATATAATTATAACATGTAAAATATTATATGCTATAATTATACTATACTTATGGTTAGTTTCTTAATTTTTATTAATGCCTTAAAAATGACTTAAAGAAATATTGACTTAATATATTAAGATAGAAATGAACGGTGATAAAATCAATAATTATATCAATAAAAAATGCTATGCTTGTTGTCACTTCAAAAAAGAAAATATGGAATTGTATAAATTAAATTTACCTAATGGAATAATAAATAATATTATTGATTATTCAATGGATGAAGAATATGTATGTGAAAATTGTAAAACCTGGAGAGATAACCAAGCTATAATCAAATGTTTGTTGAGATTAAAAGGAAGACATAATATAAATGTAGAAGATGACATTTTGATATTTTTAACTGTGTATAAATTACCACCTTACGTTTATGTTAAACAGTTTCTTAAAATCAGTAAGAAAAAATATGAAATGATTTATGATATATTAAGGATGTTGTGTCATAGTCAAAAGAAAGGAGATGATATTAAAGAATATATCAAATATTATATTGAAATTTATAAAAAGTTTAATGTTAAAAATACAGTGAGAGACATTAATATTATTTTTAAAATGATGTATGAAATAAATGAGATTTGTCAATTAAATTATTATCCTGTACTGAAATTATAATCATACTATAATAATAACATGTAAAATATTATATGTTATAATTGTAATATATTTATCGTTTGTAAAGATTGAATTATTATAATTTGCTTATCTCTTTCAAAGTGCGTTGTTTAGACTTGGCATGCTTCTTCAATTTTTTCGTGCTTTGGCTGTTTGTTTTTGTTTTGTTTGATACTCTTATGATATTTTTTGTTAGTATGTTGCTTTGATTTTTGTTGATGTGTGTTTTTGAGTTTGGGTTCTTTGATGATTTAGAGTGTTGCTGTTTTGTTGGTATGCTTGTTTGAATTATTTAATGTTGCATGCTGTGATTAAATATTTTTGTTGCTGGTTGTGATTATTTTTTTTGTTTGCTTGTTGTTCTGGATTTTGTTTTCTGTTTGTTGTGTTGCTGTTGGAGAAAAAATAGTAGAAAGAATAATTCTTTGAATTCTCCTTTTACTATTTTTTCCCCCTCCTCCCCCCAAACCCCCCAGTTGCCTGAAGACCATACGCGACCGACCCGTGGCACTGTTCGCAGTTGGCGATACGTCTCGTGTGGCAAAGACTTGGCGCGTCTGGTCGGCGAATGTGCTGAAGTCTAGACAGAGTCACGCCCCATTCTGTCACACATGTAGCGAACTGGTGAATTTGTATTCCTTGTGACAGTTTGCGCTCGCAGCGGTTCACGCCCTTAGCATAATAGCTCCGGAGCAAGCAAGGTACCCACGGCCGTGTCAAGCCCCTTCTTTTCTCTTGAGCGGCGGCGGATCGCATGGCTGAAGTGAACGCTGATCCCCACCTAGGTCCTCCAATAAAAAAAGATTAGAATAAGGGTACCCTTTTTTTCTGTGGTCTACTTTAGTAGGGGACTCCTCCCCAAAACAAGTTGGTGAGAAAGGGCACCTAGCTGGGGGACCTAGCCACCCACCCCAAAAAGTGGCGTTGCATGAGGCGTGCTTTATCCACATTGCGCGCCAATCTGGGCTTGGTTTCTATTGGACGTGTCGACATGTCATTTACATGGAGATTTATGGCCACCCACGATTTTGGAGGGCGGTCCTCATCAATAGTCATACCTATATATTTGGATCCACCTGAGGGACCTCGACATTGATTCTACACCCCCACTCTGTAGTATCTCAGTAATAGGATACAAAATACAAAGCTTTTACCTTGAAATCTCGACTGGAAATGGGAACCAATGACAAAACCAGCAGGATCTGTTGAACCGGCGAAGACCAATCTAAACTGTTGATGTTCCGCAGGTGGAGCATCTAAAATGAAGTCCCAAAAACCATCGGATGGTAAGTGCGTAGCCCCAGGTTGGGATCCTCAATGAACCTCAGTCTAACCTCAAATGAGGTCCAATCAAGCCTTGAGGGATGCTCCCAAACTGGAAGGGCGGAAAACCCAAAGAATCCAATCTCAGATAGCATTTAACAGACAAAAAAGGAAGATATGTTCCGATTCTGGTCCATATAGGGGTAGGATGTTAAAATAACTCGGGACCCCAAATGGTGGACATCAGAGTTTGGTGTAAATTTACGTCCCCCAATCATTTGGGAGGGTATTCCTTATGCAATTTCTACCCATACTGTGGATGGAAGAAAACCTGCACCACCTAAGAAACCCTGGAATGGTGATTCCGCTGCAAACACAACAAACAATAGCTTCCCATGGTTTCAAAGTGGTGCAGGATGTTGTCCATCCACAGTATGTAGTCTACCCTAAATATTAGATTGTTTTGTCTGCGCAAGTTGTACATGCAAACTACGATCGCGGGAGCCACGCAAAGTAGTAAACGTCCACCGTCTACGGAGATCGCGCGGGAATGCTAAAATGCATCTGCTGCCTGAAAAAGCTGTCTTTTTTGGGGTGCTTCAGAAAAGCCTGGTGTCTCCAACAGTCAAACTTTCTTGGCGCGGCCGTAACTCTCCATGGCAAAGCTGTACTCGTTCAAGGTAGTGATGCTCATATACTTCTGCTGCGAATCTTCACACTTGAGAAGCCCTCTCCAAACAACACCCTTCGGAAGCTCACAAAAATGCAAGACTCTTTCGGTTCGGAGGAACGTTTGGACACGATTCTGCAGGTTGGTCGCGATTCTACAGGTTTGTTTGCCGGAAGAACTCGCCCAGCACCTGCAGTTCGGCCAAGCGAGTCCTTTGGCGCACGTCTTCCGGCGCGATCTCAAGTGCTATCTCTCTGACTGACAAATCTCGGTCCAATCTCTCGAGCGACCTCCTTGTGAACCCTTTTGCGAAATATCTCAAGCAAATGTACCGGAAAAATCCTGCGCCATGTTGTCGGGCACAATACACCCCTTGAATTGCTTCGATGTTGATGTAAAAACGAGTCTCAACCAGTTCAGACTAATTTCTGCATTGGTCGAAGACCAGATAACTGAATATGGGGACCGTCCGTAATTGCGTGTCCAAAACTTATGAACTGCGAAAGGCCGGCGATTGGACCGCGAAAGAGCAACACAAGTATCGTGATTTTAGGTCCATGTGCTTCGATCGGGGTTCCGACGCACGTCTCGCTCATTTTGAGTGCACGGGCTCGCACAAAAAATATCCTCCAATCTTGACGTTGATTTCGTTTGCGCAGGCCCAGGCTGCGCGTTCCGAATCTGCTTTCTGGCAAGGGTTGGAAGCTGCAAACCGAAGGTTCGCCGCCGAATTCCGCGCTTGGACCGCGGTTGGACGGCGATTGCACGGCGATTGGACGAGTTCCACCAGTAAGCCTCTGCCCAGTTCCTTTCTTCCTGTGTCCTGGTGTGGATGGAGGAAGCCCAGCGCTTGAGACAAGACGACGAAAAACAACACACAAACAGCAGCGATGCTCAATGCTCCTCCGCGATTGGACCCTGTGAGATTGCGATTGCATCGCGATCCGGCGATTGGCGCTGGTTTGCTTACGCCGTAGGCCACCTCAACGGTGACCAGTTGCCAGAGACCATCCGCGGGGAAGCGCAGAGGCCTTTCAACCTCAGCGCCTTGGCGCGACGAGACGGCCGCACCCGGAATCTTTGGCACCTCTTCCGCCGGATACGTCCAAACAAAGTCACGCTGTCTCTCAAAGCGGTGGACCGCCCCTTTTGGGGCAAACCCTGAGGCTGATTGGCTTCAAACACAGGGTACTCTTTCACCTTCGTTAGGGAATCTGAAACGAAGCGATCCCCTGATGTTGGGACATATCCACTGGTTTTCAGCCCGCAGCCTTTGGTCCCGCATTCAGCTTGAGCTCCACTCATTTTCTCCCATGCACGCGTATCCGGTCTATGGTCCCCACCTCCAAATACCTGCTCTCTGTTGCCTGTCGGGGTGTTTTTGGTGGGGGTGCTGATGTCAACTCTTGAGTCCAAAAGGTGTATACCCTAGAAATTGGGGCGCCACGTTTTCCATCAGGGTTCGCAGGCTATTTGGAGCTGGGCGAGAAAACAAATCAGCCTGGACCAACTTGGCTTCCCGAGCTCTCAATCGGAAGCGCCATCCAAATCTGATTTGTCTCGACTCTCCCGCCTGGTGCGGGGGCCTATGGGTGAAAGCCTTGCTCCCTTGAAGGCGCTGATGGGCGCCCTGTGGCTTTTTTGGCCTAAGCCGCACAAGGCAACGGCTCATCTTAGGAAAGCGGAGCGCTCCTTTGCGGCACAGGAAGCTGGAATCTTAAAGTGACGAAGACTGGTCAAGCAACTCCCTTCGTGGGTCATCATGCTTCTCTTAGGGTGATGATGGTTGTCTAATTCTCCATGAAAGGGTCCATAACCATCCATAGCAACCACCAGTTGCTTACTGGTCTTTTACCGTGTCTATGGCTCAGCCACTCAAACAAAACAAGTCCCCTTTGTGCATTCTCCAGCCGGATCCTTCCGGACGCGGAACTCCGAATCGCTCGGACGTCGAATCGCGGGCCGAAGGACGTTCTGTACACGTCACACGCGAAACCCAAAAGGCGTCTCCCCTTTTCCGGGCGTCAATTGCAAACCTGCCGAAACCTGCCCAGGAAGGCTTGCTTGACGTTGGAACGGGAGCAACCATGCAAATCTTAGCAGTCAAGCGGATTTGGATTTCAACCTTCATGAAACACCATCATGTAAAATGCTTCCCAACAACCACCATGGAAGCGCGATCCGGATCTTTTTTTCCTGAGAGCCGGATCTTTCGAGACGGGCGGTCCGCCCGAGAAACGGGATCCCCGACCCCCAAGACGGGGCGCGCCGGCGAACTCCGGCTCCGTCTCACGCCTTGCTCCAAAGGCCTGGCAGCGCGCGCAACGGGGGAATGAAGGGACCTGGACCCTCACACTGCCTATGTTTTTTTATTTTTATTTTAGTATGAGTATATAACCAAAAACAATAATAATAATAATAATAATAATAATAAAATAGGGCAACAACCCAGTCTTTAGTTGGAATTGCAAGGGTGTAGGGAGCCCCACAGGGGAAGGAGCACTTTGACGGTGAACATATATCCCCTCTTAGGATATGGATTTGCCCACATGGAAGATATCCTCCCTCCCACAAACATAGCGCCTGACGGGGGGTCCCTTCAAAAGGAAACTCATCTTCTAGGTACCTCCCCACCAGCGGACCGCAGGTTTTAGTCGTTGGTTCCACTTACCAGGGTTCCATTTTGGGGTGACCCGATTTTGACCCACACCCATATATGCCCCAGTGCCTCCTGGGCTGTTTTACTGGGCTGCCCATGGTGTCCGTTGGTTACTCTCGCGCAACGCTGGAAGCTCTCTCCCAAAAGGGTGCCCCGGGCCACAAAGCGAATCGCTCTTTTGGACCAAATCAAGTGCATGGCCGATTTTTTTGTGCCTCCACTTTTGTCTTTTTTCTCCGAAAAGGGTTGAACCGCCTAACTTGGGTGTTCCACCTCTACAACCCACGTAGGCTACCATGGCTCTTCTCGGGCACTACCGCCCTCCCCGATACCAACCAGTTATAGCCATGGTCATAATGTTGACAATAAACCCGTCCCATTAAGGGGGGTGTTCCCTCCAAAAGTGATGACTCCCCACTAAAAAGGGACACCCCCCCCCCGGAGTAATCAACCACGGGTTTATTAACCCGCGGTTAACATTAACCTTCCTGACGCTGCTTGAACACAAAAAGGGCGGGTCTCCTTCCAACTCGTCCTCCCTGCCTTCCAGCTGAGAACTTGTCTGGGCCACGTGCTACGAAATCCGCGAGTCTCGCACCGAACTCAGAAACCCAACGGAATGATTCGATTCCCCAACGTAAAGAACCAACAAACCTATGCCTTCACCCATGGCTTCATTTCGCGGTGCAGAATTTCCCCCACCTGGACTCTTAAACTACCCATATAAAAACAGGAGCCTCCATCGTAGCAAAAAAATATGCCTCCCCCCTGGTTCGATACACAAATCGACGTTGTAGCGTTGTTTCCTCCACAATTGCTTTCGAGCATGTTTTTCGGAGTCGAGCGGAAATCAAGTTCGGTAGTTTCATAGTCTTTCACAGGGGCGAGTTTGGGAAGAGTCATCAACGAAACGAGCGCAAAGAAAGTGCAAAACGAGCGCAAATCGGCACAAAACAAGTGCAAAACGTGCAAACGAGCGAAAATTTAAAATATGGTACCGGGAATGGGTTCCGAGCGATTCTTGTTGAATCGTACAATTAATTTAAAGTTGTCACGAGCAGAACAAATGAGCAAAACATAATGTATCAATGGAGGCTGCAGGAAGGGATTTCACCCTGTTATTTTGGGGCAATAACCAATTGTTAAGGGCATTCTGGAGGGTATAGGCATCCGCAGTATGACCCACTGCTGACATGTTCCAAGGGCCAGTGCTGTTGCAAGGGCCACGCATATTGCCTGCTCCGATGCAGCGGTTGAAGTGATGCTCGAAATCCTTGGGCGGCATGCTCTGCGCCACCTGCCGTCAGCTTCCACGACCCTTCTTTCGACCCCAAACACACCGTCAGGTTTCCCCAAAGCGGGTTATAGGGCAGCCTTTAAGGTTGGTTTAAAGGGAAGCCGAGGGAAACACAAATCCATTTTGGGGGTTGCCCTATCTTAACATAATTGTATGCCCCCAATTTACTGGTTTTGACTTTGGATTCCGTCCAAGGAACCCCCATGGCAGCAGCTCCCTCTTTCTCTATGAAAATCTACCCAGCAGGGACTCCCTTAAAGCATGGACACCTCCCGTTTGCTGGCTCTGTTGCTCGTAAGAGAAACGAGCTCAACCTCATGTGCAATTTGTAGCAAACACAAGGGCTATAAGCTCCAACTCCACAAATGCGCGCGATGTGCCTGCTTGAATGTCAACCCTGGATCTAAGTAAAACTCGTCCTTTCAATTGTTCCCAAAGTGATAAACTCCCACTGAAAGGAGGACACTCCCCGATCAAACTCAACCAAACGTTTCCGGGCTGTCCATGTTCATATCCCCTGCTACAAGTTGAAGAACCCAACCACCAAAAACCAAAAAAACATCTAACATTTGGTTTAAATGGAAACCCAACCCACTAAGCCAAGAAGCCAAGGAACGAACCGGACGGCAGCGAACCAAGGTTTGATCCGGCCTGCTTGAGCATTTCCACGTCCCCCGACTTGAAGCACTCCTCTCACCCAGTGCAGCGCTGCGCATCAAATTGGATTTTGAAGGGACACCAAAAGAAAACACTTGGTTGCTGCAACGCCCCCCCTGCAAAAAGTTGACCACTTTTTGGGGGTTTAGTGGAAAACACAACTACTGGGTGCCGAAACCCAACTACTGTGGATGGACGAAATCCATTTCGCACCACGCAAGACACCAGGCTTGAAACCATAACGTTTGTTGTTATTCACAGGGAATCATATCATTCACCGGGGTTTCTTAGGTGGTGGTGCAGGAGTTCGTCCATCCACAGTATTAACAAGATTATGGGCTGATAATCCTACTTTTGATGGGTGAACTGGGTGCCGAAACCCTCACAATTCCAACGATTAACAAGATTATGGGGTGATATTCCTATTTTCAATAGGTAGTTTGAAGGCCCAGGTGTGTCTTTTTTGGGCGAGCCCCAATGGATGTTGATTGTCCCGTTGGTTTCCCCAAGACCCAAAAGCAAGTTGGATATCAACAGAAAGACACACACTTAAACAAACAAACCCCGTTCCAAGTTTGAGGCAACCCTTCATCTTCCTGGTTCATAAACTGGGTCACCTCCTCCGCATTTGTTTCAGCCCCGAACGAGCAAAGGTCGTGATCGACCTGTTCTAGGTTTCATGGAAGCCGTCTCAGTAGCGAAAGATCCCAGCTAAACAACCAACAGGGAAAGTAAAAGATATCTTCTGGCTGAAACGCAAATGGAAGTGTTGGTTTTGCGACCAGAAACGGCTTTGTCAGTTTAAGGCGACCCCAACATGCTCCTTTTGGGAAAAAGCCTGGAACATGGGGCATAAGACCAACAGTAGAACCCACCTATGTCGAGCCAAAGCGACCAAACGGCCTAGGCTAAACGCCGTCGATCTCTCCTGCAGCTCCTTGGGCAAACTTTCAAAGACCTGCCGAGAGCCGAGCCGAAGCGGGGTCTCGGAGCGGTGTCTTAGACGTAGGGGGAGCTGTCATAGGGGGCTGGGGGGGAAGGGAGGGGGGGGGGGAAGGAAGCCCAAGTAAGCTTCCTAAATAAGGCCTTAGCATAGGCTTCACAAGGGCTTATTTGGGCTCCCTCCCTCTCCCCTCCCTCCCCCCAGCCTCTATGAAACTGGCAGTGCGCCAACAGAGAGGTACAGTTGGCATGATTTCAAGGGAAAAGGTGGACCACAACTCGGGTTCCACGTGCTCAGTGATTGTTACTACGTGAGGAGAAACTTCTTTTGCAATTCCAAAGTGGAAGCCCCACCCAAGCACTACTTCTTGGCCCAAATCTCGGGTACACAAAAAGAATATGTTCCGGTTCTGGTCCATATTCAGCCTACCACTTCAGGAGACCTGGCCTGTTGAAATAATTTTGCATCTGTTCACCCAGGATTAATATCGCCCAAGGACCCACCAAAGTCGTGTCAAAACTGGAAAATGTGGACCCCAAAAAACAACTCCTTTGGCTTCCCTGTAAAACCACAAACGGAAAAGGGGTACCCTTCGCCTCAAGAAAATCAAACTCCACCTGGAGTTTGGGGCATGAACGGATCACCACTTGGACACCAGTTGGATGGCTCAGTTGGTTGCCTCATTCCCTGAGAGCCAGACTCCATTTCGATTCCCTTTCAGACACCCAACGCCATGATTCGATTCTCCTCCAAATACTCATGCCATTGGCATGACCCCCTGTATTTTGAGATGAAGGAGGAGAATCGAGCCAACCCCCTTCCATGGCCCTAAAACAAAGCTTCTGGCTTCCTTCCCACGGCGCGGGTCCCCCGTGGACTGAGTTCGCAAAGCCACGGTACGACCCCACACAAGGCCTGAAAGATCTGGAGTCTCCTTCTGACCCGAAATAAAAAATGGGTCCATGACTTTTGACATTTGGGTAGCGACCCCATGTCTGAAGGGTCATATGGAGATTCCAGGCACCCTACATTAGTTGAGGCCTTGCCAAAAAGAACCCCCCCAAGAGTGAAGGAAACTCAGTCCAGGTAATGACCCCCTTATTTTGGGTAATGACCAACCATTTTTGAAGGGTCATGGAGACTCCAGTTACTGCCTTCTCCGAGTCCAAGAAACAAATCCCAGCACGGCCACTTGGAATGAAATATTCCTGTTGACCCACCTATAGTAAACAGTCATAACAAGAGAAGCCAGAAGAACACAGAAGTAATATACATGAACACCCAATGAAAGTTGTTGTGCCAGTTGGCAAGTATATCAATTTTGTCTTTAGTTAGAGACCCAGCTGTTAATACGGGGAAGCCTTGCATGTGGGAAGACTCTGCATGAGAATGCTTTTGCATGGACAAAGAGGTTTACATGAGACGCATCGCCTGACGGTTGAAGACCCTTGAGTCATAAGGAAGGACATATTAGGCCAGACAGTAAAAACCGCGAGTTGGTTCACCTCTCCTCTGTCTTCACCCATCTTTACGTGTGACGGATCTTCCCGTGGCTTCCCTTGACCGAAAAGGGTAACCTTGCCTTTTCCTATGCCATGCAATCGCTCAAGGGACGGGTGGCCTTCTGTCCGTGTCCACCTGTCCAGAGAAAACTTACATACCCTAAGGGTCCCGGCGGTGTTTTGGGCCCTCCAAATGGGTTGTTGCGGGCCCTGGAGGAATTGGCCGGGGTTCTCCATAAAAGGGTCCGGAAATCTGCATTGCAGGGGTCATGACGTTTAGAAAGGAAAAGAGGGGACAGGGGAAAGAAGTAAAGGGATGAGAGCGTTCAGTCTCAGTGCGGTGTCAGTCTCAGTGATGAATGACGGACGGAGAGGGATATGAAAACAAAGAAGAGAGCCAGCCCTCTCTTTCTCGCCTCCAAAAGACCACAAATAGAAAAGAGGCGAGACAGAGATACAAGGACATAATCTCCGAGACTTCTCTGCGGCGCACGGAGTTAACCCGCTGTCATCTCTATGCTGCATCCAGAAGTTTCTAACATTCACTTTCTCTGTTGTAATTACCATATCTTCTTTCATATGTCCAGTAGTGATAGCTTCCCTTCAAAATCAACAGGGGAACATAAAGGACACATTCACGTCAGAAATTCGGAAAAGAAGGCTCGCTCCACCCCGTCGACCGTTAGACGACAGGAACAAGCCAAAATCCGCCTCCACGGGATCCAAGCCGTCGGGGCCCATGCGCTCCTCTTTGCTCATGCTGTACATGGCCTGGGATCGGCCATGATCCTCCGATTTTTCGGGACCCTCGCTGATATCCTCAGTGGCCCTAAGGACCTGGACAGAAAAACGGTGAGCCTTTTAGGATGGGTCGTTTTTTGGTTTACGGTCCTGAAAGGACCCTCATGACAAGTGGTCTAAAGGATCCACAGACTAAGGGTGGTACTTCCCACAGGCTGCCTAAGCCACAAAACTTCCCAAACCCGAAACGGGCTCCCGAAACAACCCGGCAACGCCCACCCTCTTTGTACTGGCCCTCAAATGGGATTCCATAAGCGTTGGTTTCCCGCCCTTTAAGAACCCTCGCCTTCAAAAGGGGGGTCTAAAAGGCGACAAGTTGAAAACACAATTTGTGGGTTTGCCTTTTGGGAGGTTTTAAACGGGAGACATTTCGCGCTTTTTGGGGAGCAAAAGCTCCATGGCAAGTCGTTTTGATAGCCTTGGGGTAAAACTGTCAGGTTCTGAGGGTCCCCCTTCAGACAAACCCACATCATGGCGACAATGGTTTCATTTCGCGGGCATGATTTCGTTCATCAGTGCAGTGTGTGTGTGTGCTTTGCTTCACCTTGGTTGCCTGGTTTGATGGTTGGCTGTTCAGTCTTTGTCTGGCCTAAGACTCAATTGGAAGCCGGTCTGGACAAACAAAACAACGCCGGTTTGACTCGCACAGAACCTGTGCTGGTGGCCGGACACTCTGCCCATGGAAGCAGGATTCAAGGCGGTCGGCTCTGGCTGCCCCTGTGGATGGACGAAAATCATTTCGCACCACCTAAGGAAAGAAACGGAATGAGGACTCCCCTGTTTCCCATGGAATCAAAGTGGCGCAGGATCTTGCCCATCCACGTGCTTGGAACGGAAGTGATGTACGTACTAAGCTCGAGTGGCTCGCACGACGAAGACTCGCGCTCATCCTTTCGACAAACAAGCCAGCAGTCTATTTTAGAAGGCATCCCTTCTATTTGGGGGAACCCCGGATGAATTGGGTGTCAGATTCTCAGGGTGTGGCACACCCATGAATCCTACTCCGAGGCCGGCAGCATGTCAACTTCGGATTTCTCTGCAGTATGGAGTTCATTCCTTTTAGGGGTGGAGCCTCAAGGCCAAACTTGGCGTTCACAAGGCTTTAACACTTGGATATGGCAGCAAGTCGTATGGCTAGTTGAATTGCAGCACAAAAAAACCGGCTAGCCCCAGGTTGCTACCGTTGCGATTAGACCAGAAATTCACCCTAAGGGTGGCTCAAAAGACCCGTCGTGCGACTCCATGCACACCCGGATCTGTGTGGCGTTTTTAAAGGAACCCCGAAAATGATGAACACCAACGGGTACCCTCAAAAAAAGGACACACAAGGTGCTTCTGGATGGCCATCCAGCGAGATAACCTTCCCGAACCTTTCTGAACAAAAGGTTGGCTTGTGCTCATTGGAGCCCACTTTTTCAAGGACTGTACTGGCCCAAATCTGGGGGTACACACAAGATCTAGCATATGCTCCGGGCCTGGTCCCTATTTGTCTACCTGGCCCCAAAGGAACTACCCAACAAACACGAGTTGGGAAACCCCCAACCAACAAATAACAAATATTCAAAGGAAAAAAGAAAAAGCAAAAACCAACAAATAATAATGTTTAAAAGAAAAAAGAAAAAGCAAAAAAAACAAACATCTACCTACTTCTCTCCTTCCCCTCGGAGTCTTGCAACCCTTCGGGGCCATAGGGCTCTCACCGCTCAACTCGTCAACTCGGCCGCCGGCTTCGACCAAAGAGACCGGCTGCATGTCCTGGACGGGTCGAGCCATGGCGCATTGGTTAGATACCGCCTATGCCAGGAGTGCATACCTGGAGTCTCCATGGCCCTTTGGAACAAATATGGCTGGTCGTTACCCAAAAGAAGGAAATGGGTCAGGGACCCATCTTTACTTCGGGTCAGGAGACTCCAGGTACTGCCTTACAAGCATACGTTGGTGGACCTGAACCCTCAAACTACCCCAACAACAAGAGAACTTACCACTACCAGGGAATCCAAAGGCCGACGCCTTAAACCGACTCCTTGGTGACGCCTCGCCATTTCTGCCTTTGCGACAAAGCACAACCACACAGTTAAGAGGCGTGTACTGCCTTACAAGCTTTTAGTGGTGGACCTGAACCCTCAAACTAACCCAAAAACCAAAAAACGAACTCAAAGCATAGTTTTGGGGCAATAACTCATATTTAATGTGAGGGTTTAGGTAGAGGCATTGATACCCCCTTACCTGACAACGCCCTTCACACACGACTCTCTGAAGCTTTGGGTAGGTCTTACTATACACTCCATGAAGTCATACCATGAGTGAAATCAACGCCGCATTACCGAAATGTCAACAAACATGTAAGCTACAATGTTTGTTTGCGTCAGCTTCTCCCGGGGTTGAGTTTACGTAGTACAATGGAGCGAGCCTGGTTTAGCCCCGACAGGCAATATTGCCCCCCTAACCATGCATTTAAGCATGCTACAAACCGCCCAAGAACAATTTGAGGATGGGTGGAGGCTCGATTTGGGATTGCATTGCTCAAAACACGTGTGTGGATGTTCTGCCCCGTGGTGCAAGAATGATGCTTGTTTACAGCATGTTCTAAACATCTGTAGTTACGTATGTGCACAGTCACAAAAAAAGACGGCATCGTTTACCATCCCTAGCACCGTTTGGAACCCCGCATCACTGGTTGAAGTTGGTTTAAGGATGGGTGGGTGGGTTTCAGACAGGTTTAGGGTGGGTTTGCTTTTGGCATGGATTTAGAGCTGGTTTGGGTGGGTTCAAGGTGGGTTAAGGGTTCAGGGTTGGTGCAGTGGGTTTAGGGTGGTTCGGGAAGGGTTTAGAGTTGGTTCGGAGGAGGGGGGGGTGCTGGAAGCGGCTCCCAGAAAATCCAAAAAACGAACGTCTGGGGGAAAATGTTCAGGGCCTGGTGCGTTGAGCCCGCATTTGCCCTGGTTGCTCCCTCCCTGAGCCAAGGGAAGTGAACTGAAAGGCCAAACTATACTGCGCTGTCCCCACATCCCCTGCCAAAAGTGAAACTTTCAGTGAGCTATTTGACACCCAACCACCTTCACCTACCAAAAGCCTACAAGCCTAAGGGCACGGCTGGGAACCGGCAAGAATATGGGTGCTTTGTTTTGTGTTAGACCCCCATGACCAGGGTGCTCTTTTGGCTTCGTAGAAAGGGGCACCCTTCTCACTTGGCTGACGTTGGAAGGGGAGCAACAACTTGAACATTAGTAGTTGAGTGGGGATGTCCCACTAAACCACAATAAGCAAATATGCAAAATGTTTCCTAACAACAACCATGCTCAGAAGGAACCGAGCATATGGGGTGAAATCCGGGTTCGAAGCCTGATACATTGGGTCTGGGTCGCAGGTTGCGCGACCTCCTTGGTCGCTGCACTCCGAACATGAGGCAAATGTTTGCCCTTAGGTGTCCGGGGTGAAAAACCAGAGTGGTTTCCAATAAATCTCTCCTAAAGCAACCGATTGCACGTTACCCATTCCTGCGCCATAGGAATAACTCCAGGGTATCTAAAGGCAGCTGGGTTGAATCCAAATCAATGGGTTCCAATGGCAGAAACGTGAATTCATGTCCAATCCGAACCCTTGGATTCGAAGTGGAGTGGCTCGTTTGTTTGTTACGTTTCGGTGGCTAGGGAAACTTCACAAGGAACGCCTCACCCGGGTATTCTGGCCGCTCTTGCCCCAGAGGCGTCGCTTCTCCTCCTCCGGGACCTCGCCCTCGCCCTCGCCCTCGCCCTGCTCCGCGGCCTTCTTGGCTTCTTCCTCCTGGAAGGAGTCGATTTCCCGATGCAAATGCCGCACCCAATGCTATGGTGTCAACCATGCCTGGAGTCTCCATGACCATTTAAAAAATGGGGTCATGACTCAAAATAAGGGGGTCATGGACCCACTTTTAAGGGTCATGGAGACTTCAGGTGGATTTTCTGCTCCCCTGCTCAAAGTTTAACTTGTAGTGGTTTAATTGGAAAACCCATTCGTTGGCAAAAAGTTAAAGTCCTAACATCCAAGCAACAAGAACCAAATGTTATGGCTTCACCCATGGATTCATTGCGTGGTTTTCATGATGTCGCAACCATCCACAGTACAATCCAGTTAAGTAATTAAAAGGAATCCTAGCGGTCGAACAAATGGGCTCATGTCCTTTGTGTTGAGGCGACAGGTACTGTTGGAGTGGGAAAGGGAAACCAAATGCGACAAACCATTGCCATTTTGGGGGTTCCAGAAGCTAGTTTGACACACACTCAAATGGTTGCCTACAGTGGTGTCTGGCCCAACTACTTGGGAGATTGTAAGGTAGAAGGGATCATTATTGCAATTGCAAGTTGGGCTTGACGCTCCAGTCGCTCCAGTGCCGCAAGCCATCCCCCTATAAAGAATATCCCTTGTGGTTTCCTTTGAGTTGAAGGAAACCCCCAAACATTCCCAACACCGGGAGTCGGTGTCATTCCCTAGCCATCGCACCAGCAAAGAGTTTGGGAGCTTGTGACGGGTCCAAAGCTGAGAGAACTCAACCAGGGCTCGGTGGATCGTCGCCCAAATCTGTTGGCGGAAACTGAGCTGGACTTCCTCGTGGGGGCTGGGAAAAGGGGGGGAGAGGGAGCCCAAATTAAGCCCCCTAAGCCCTCAATAAGCCCTTTGTAAGGCCTCCCTCCGCAGCCGCATGACTTCCTGACCCCGAAAGACGGGCGGTTTCAGGACAGGGGAGGGGGCCCTGGCGGCCTGACAAGGCGGCCACCACCGTTTCTGGTGGCCGGGGTGACTTCGTGTCCAGTGCTCACACGCACTCAGGGCAGCATCTCTGCTAGGTCCTCCACTAGAGACTGTTTCTCTGTAGTCTAGTTGAGTAGAAAAACCCTCCCCCAAAAAAGAAACGGTAAAAGGGCACCTAGCTGGGGGACCTAGTCTGGCTTGATCCCAAGGCACACTACTTGGAGGAGCCTGGCGTCCGGAATTGCTTCTTCGCCTGCTGGAAAGAATAAACATAGTTGGCAGCAGTGAAATTGATGTCCCTTTAAACCATCAAGGGAAAACTTATTTTTTGGGGAAAACATGGAAGCTGGGTATAAGAGGGAACAGCCCGGAGCTGGACGTCGGCGTCCTCTTCCTTCTTCTTTTGTATGGCCTGCGGTCGAATCAACGAGCGCGTGGTTTTGATTAGACACGAGAGGAGGTTTTGTAACTTGCGGTCCGTTTGCCCAGTTCAGACACACACCTAGGGATTTCCTATATAGCGATAAGTCCAATGGGAATCCAGAATAAACATGTTTCCTATTGGGAACCCAAGAATTGTTGGAACATGGAAGTGCACAGACCCCGGCTGGAAGACCGCGACTTTGAAAATGGAGCCAGTGCACCCCTGTTTGGAGGGTAAACCCGTAGGTGGTTCGTAGGTGTCCAACCCCCATTTAATAGTTTGAACCTGGGGTGAGTCAGTACTGTGGATGGACGAAATCCTGCACCGGCTAAGAAACCCTGGAATGATGATGATTCCCCTGCAAATACCGACAAACAATGGCTTCAACCATGGCTTCAAAGTGGCGCAAGATTTCCTCCACAGAACAAGGCCGCATCCCAAACTTCCCGTGGCTTTTTGGGGAAGAAAAAAACGCTTTTCCCAGCTCCAGCACTCATGGACCCAAGCAGTAGCTAGGAGCATTTGAATAGATTGCGACGAGCCCTGGTTCTCCAAACAAAGTGCAGTGGATCCATTTACCAGGCGGTGGTGTAGGTAACCAGGGGCTCGCCATCCTTTAACCAAAACAAACGGAAAATCGTTGATTGCCTACTAGAAGGTAACTGGGATCCATTGGGAAAAAGGCAATTGACATGCACAGGTGTGTGAAAAATGGTTGGTCCCCAAAAAGAAGAGGCGGTGGGCAGAACTGAAAGGGGTCCAAAAAGGAACCAACCATATGGAGGTGTGTTTTTTTCCGAGAGTACCCACTCAATGAATTGTTTAAAGGGAAACCAGACGGAAGCCACTTGTTGTTTCTTGTTTATCCTGTTTTCTTTTTTTAGGGGGGTCCCCTATTTTGACACAGACCCATCTCGTTCACAATCCCTACCAGTGATGTCCACTGCAACCTCGGCCTGAAACGGGGGCGTCAGGCAAGCCCTCGGCCCGTGCCCCTTGCTCGGGTGGAGGAAGAAGCGCCCGAACGATTTCACTTGTTTCACTTGGTATATATGGGCTGTATACTCACATGCACATGTATTGCCAGGAAGCGATTTTCCCAATGTCACAAAGCTCAAAAAGGAGCCCGGCCAAACAACAAGTGCAACCCTCTCCTGTTGGTCTCCACTCTGAACCAATGGTAAACACGGTGCCGTTGAACAAGACTCCCCCTCCTGTTGGTGTCCCTTCCATCTTAAGCCAACGAAAAGAACGTCAAATAAAACACCCCCACCTTTGGTTGCAAAACATGGTACCGTCAAACGAAACACCCCCTCCTTTTGGTTTCCCTTCAAACTAACGCAAAGCATGGCACCGTCGAAAAGCGACACCATCTCTACTCAGTATGCCTTTCAATCAACGGGAAAAGACAAGGTATCGGCAAACGAAACACTCCCTCTTTCTTTGGTGTCCCTGTAGACTAACGCAAAAAACATGGGCAGCGGCAAAACAACCCCCCCACGCCCCATGAAAATAAATCTGGCTTCTCCTTAGACTGACACAAAAAAACTGGGAGCGGCAAAAACAAACCACCCCCATGAACACCAAAATCCTCCAGGCTGACATGAAACACTCCCTCCTTCTGGTGTCTCTTTCGACAATCCCCACAACTCCCAAGCTCACATGTCACGCTTGGCGTTTCGAGCGATCCGAGTCACCGGGCCCTTTGGATGAGGTGCTTCATGAAGTGCTGGACTCCCTCCTGCCCCGAGCTCATTCGACGTCACGGAGTGACTCGTTGGGGGAAGCCACGGGGGCTCTCAGAAAGAAGCTTTGAAAAAAGAGTCGTGGTATACCTGGAGTCTCCATGACCCTTTAAAAATGGTTCATTATCCAAAATGAGGGGTCATGGAAGGGGTCATGGAGACTCCAGGTACCGGAAAAAGGTCCATGGACCATAGCAACCCTAAGCAAAGAAAGCGGTTTTTTGACGATGGCACATGAAAACAATATCCATTTAATTCAAGGGCATTCCCAGGCAGTCTTGGAGGTATGGATGCTTAAACGCACCACCCCCACTAAGGAAGCTCATATTAATTTGGTCTCAATAGCAATGGATAAAACCAAAAGGAGTCTTTTGGCGTTCCTTTAAAGCCAAGCCAGGGTACCAACTGAAGAATTTGCGTACACACACACACATCCATTCCCATGTTAAACTGGCTAAGGGGACACCCCCCGAGCTGGCTGATCGATCTCTGCTCATCCCCCCAAACCTGCCAGCAGCCAAAACATTTCGGCATGGTGCCGTTTTGTTTTTCTTGGTGGCCTTATTTGGCCTCCCCTCTCGTTTTTCCCCCAGATTCCACGATGTTCGTTAGCGAATGGAAGTTTACATATTGGTTCTTAAGGATCCCTGCTAAAAGTTAAACACGTATGATATGTCGTGAATTCCCCACTCCAGAAGTCATGGGTTTGTCTCGAAACAAGAATCGGAACCTGTCGGAACCCTCAAAATGGATGGCTTCCCTTTTGGTGTCCCATTTGAACAAAGCGACAAAATCATGCAAACCATGCTGAAACCGTGCCCTGGGGTTCAACCCCCATTAAAACAAAGGTTGACCCAATTTAGATGGTGACAATCCTTAGGTTAAAAAATGGTGGTTATATGAACCCCCATTGTTTTAATGGTGGAATGAACCTTTTCCACTCCGAGGCGCGGGGAGTTCCTTTCGGAAAGTCGCCGGGTGGGCGCAAGCGGGTGGCTGAGGCCGGATGCGGTATCTGTTTCTCGTTTTTCAACAAGGGCAGTATTTGTTCGGCTCTTCTGTACTGGCATTATTTTCTTCTTTGTTTTTTTTTAATATTTATTTTTCTTCTTCTTTGTTTTCTCTGCACACGCTCCAGCTGGCCAGTGAAGTCTGCCAAGGTCGCGTTGGCCAGGACCGTTGGCTCGTCTGCGGGCTCCGAGGAGCAGCCTCTACAAGACTTCTTGCACAGCTGCGTGTCGGGACTGATCTTGGTGCTGCAGTTCTTGCACGCCACGTACACGGGGCTGCCAGCAATGGAGGTGAGCCACAAGCCGTGCAAGACCACCTCCACCTTCTGCTGAGAGAGGCGCGCAAGGGCGCAAACTGACAACGGATTTTACAGCAACACACAAACTCTTCGTCGAAGCAGGTGAATACCATGCGTCTGTTGGCATGAACCAGGTGGATCATCAAAAAACCATGGCTAGGTCCTCCAGTAGAGAGGTTAGAATAAGGGTACCCTTTTTTCCTGTAGTCTATTTTAGGGAAACCCTCCCAAAAAAAGGTCATGGATACTACTGGGAGACCTAGATGGTTGAAATCATGGGTCTGTTGGCATGAACCAGGGGGAGCATCCTTTCTTCCTGGAAACCCTATGCTTGGAAATCCTCGCAAAGCGGCACCCGAAGCGAAACAAACACCTCGGGCGCTTGGACTCGCCCCGGAAAACATGAGCTCAACAAAATATGTACCTGGAGTCTCCATGACCCGTACAAAAAATCAGCTCATTGCCCCAAATAAGGGAGTCATGGACCTAGGTTTAAAGGGTCATGGGGAGACCCCACATACTCAGTAGTGATAGATTCCGGTTAAAACCGACAAGGAAAATTACAACATAGTCATGTCAGCAAATGCAAGAACATCGAGAAGTTTGGGTACGAAGCCGCAGGTTTCATACCCCTAAATTCTCGGGTGGACCTGTGTTGATCAGTTTGGGTTAGAGGTCTGGACAAAAAAAACAACAACTCCCGGCTAGCTACCAGAATGGGAACTGCCAGTGATGAGTGAAGGGTACATTGAAACCAGTCGCTTGCAACATGTACAGGCGCTGGTCTCAGTTAACAGCTGGGCCGCCACAAAATGGGAACAAACCCTTGGCTCCCACCACATGGGCTGGCTGTTGCCCCTGCAAACAGTTTAACCTTTTGTTGGTGAATGGGAAACACACACACGAACCCTCCGAAACGTTGAAGACGAATCTGGCTGGTGATTGACAACCTCTGCTTTGCTCAGTTGAGATCCATTGAGTATGTAAATGGTCGTCCAATGTCCTGATCGCTTGCGATCCGGCCCTTAAACCCAGCCAGTACTGTAAATATCCAACCAACTCAGGTTCACCCCGGTTCCCTCAAGAGTGAAATACAGCCCCAACTAAGGGGGTGGCTACCGCCCAATCTATGAATCATGTTTAACTTCCTCCGCAGTTCCGGTCAGACCTCCGTCCCTAGGTGACCTTTTAGAAACACAGATGGGTTGCCCTGCAAAAGATCTTCTAAAAAAACAATCTATTTCTAACCAAACTAACCTAAAATGGACGGGTTCCCCTGGTACATGGCTTAAAACCCCCTCTAAACTGGTGGAACCCATCTTTCGATCCCCACAAACCTCTCAGACCTCGAACCCGCCTCAAAGGCGGCCCGGGAAGAATCCCCCTGGAACTTCTCGAAGAACCTGGGCACCTTGGCAAAAAAAAAAAACTTCGGCCGCTGAGTCGCTGGAACTTGAAGGGGTCTCCGTTTCACTGCAGAAGCCCTCGGCAAAAAGAAAGTTTGGTCGCAGGAACTCGAAGGGGTCTCCGTTTCGGGAAGTCGGGGCAAAAAAATGTTTGGTCGCTGAACTTGAACAGATCTCCCTATTGTTGGGAAGTAGGGGCAAAAAGAGTCCCCAACATCAGACTTCCGAGGTCGGAGAACTAGATTAGCCCTCAGGCCATATCCCCGGAGACCTTTTCCAGTCGCTGAACTCGGTTCGGGACGAAACTCCGTTGGGGTGCAAGGAGGGAATCGCTCTGTTCTTCCTTGTTTTCCGGTTTGCTCCCGCAAAGCAAATGCGGCACAAGGTTCACCGCTGGTTCTCTATTGTTGTTTCAGGATAGACGAAATACGGTGGACTGTGGATGAGAAAATCCTGTAATCACCACCTCAGAAAACCTGGAATGATGATTCCTTTGTAAATACCAACAAACGTTATGGTGTCAACCATGGCTTCAAAGTGGCACATGATCTCGTCCATTCACAGAAGCAGAATATGAGCATCTGATTTCAAATATACCCCCTTTGTCCAAGTTTCGGCCGGCTCATTACTTTGCACGATGTCAAAGGTTGACCGAGTTCTTGGGATGGGCGGGGCCCTTTCAAGGATGCATTTAATAAAATGACGCCCTCATCCCGCCAACCAGCCTTAAACTTACCTGGACCCTCAAACTACCCGGACAAATGGGAACGCACCAACCATATCAGAGTGTTGGGTTGCAATAACCCATGCTTAAGGGAACTTTTACTTTTTAGGCAGGTCTACTTTGAAATTAAGGCATCCCCATGTTCGCCTCATCGAACGAGCAACTTACGGGGCTCCTTTTTCTTGGGTGGTGTCAGCAAACAGGCTTTCCTGGATGTCCAACCAACTCAATAGCTCGGGAACTGGGGTGTCGCCTTATAACACTGGCTTTAACCTGCTTGCGGGGGTTGGGCTCTCCGAAGCCTTCGAAGACTGGGGGTCCGTGCCAGATCTCTAGGCGGGCGCCGCATGGGCTCTGCCAGCTGGTGGATCTGGGAGATGATCTGCCCCTGCGTATGAACCCTAGACGGGGGGGAGAGGTGTGCGGGGGGAGGTTGGGGGGGGGGGGGGACCACATGGGTGTGTGCGCGCGTGTGTGCGTGGCATTTTTGTTCAGAACATCCCTGGTTTGAAGGAACCGCTTGGACTAGTTCATTTGGGGTCCCCGTGCTGTTGAGACGAACCCATAGACAACTGCTGTTTATATGTGTATGTGTATATATATATATATGTGTGATGACCATTTGGGAAAACCACCAAAAAGACGACTTTGCCGCCCAGCATTTCGCCCACACTGCTGCTTCTCAAAATAGGAATCGATCCCCTAAGACAGTTGATTTCCTGTTGGTGTCCATTCAACTACCAACCAAAAGGTTGCATTGGGGAATGCCCCATGTATTACTGGGCTGCCCTCAGATCCCCTGCTAAAAGTTTAACTTTTAGCAGGTTAAATGGAAACTCCCCCTAAACCATCAAAGCCTAAAAGGCTAAGGAACCGGACGGCTGGGGGCCACCAAGATTAATGAGCCATAGCCAAAAGAGCCAATGCAGCCTGTGAGTGACTGACAGTTAATGAGCCACCTCGCCATGGCTGCCCTTGTGGCTCTGAATCAGTCTAAGAGGCGTTCCACTACCCCCAAACCACTCTCCAAGAACACGAGATACCAAAACTCTCAATGTTGCTCTACAAAGCGGCTAGTGCGACCCAAAATAATGATTGGTGAATTTCCTTCTTTAGGGGTAGTTTGACACATCACGGCTCCATCCTCTGACCCGTTGCAACGTAGGAAAATATTTCGCTCCCTTGGGGGCCGCCGATATTACTGTAGAACCCAAACAACCAGGGACCCCTTCAGACCCCCAGTCCCCACCAATCCAAATCACCCATTGATGGTTGTTGTTGCTTTTCTTGAGGGTACCCTTGCTTTGGTGGCGCTAAAGGAAAACCAAACGCACGACCCGCACATTTTGTGGGTCCAAACGACACACTCAATAGCCGAAAGGAAAGGAGAACAAAAAATGACGCTGCCACTGCACTGGGCTGCAAACAAAACGCGGCACCATGACCGTGCGACCTTCCGGTTCAGACCTATTGTGGATGGACGAAATCCAATTCGCACCACTTCGAAACCATGAGATTCCATTGTTTGGCGGTATTTATAGGGGAATCATCATTCCAGGGATTCTTAGGTGGTGCAGGATTTCGACTATCCAGAGTATTGCCAGAGTGAACCCCTTGGCCTGGACCAAAAGCTGGTTTCATGTCCTCCATTTTTTGGGTATTCGTTCCCTGCAAAACCAACAGGCGATTTCTTCTGAAACATCGCATGTCTTCTTGGTGTTCAAGGATAACCAATAGAAAAGCCAACCCAGATTGTGTGGGTCCCTTATGGGCTCAGTCCCCTGGCCAAATAAACAAACAAAAAACGGCTAAAAAGCTAAGGAGCCGCACGACTCGCTGGGAACCATCAAGTTAAGCACAACGCCAACACATATTCTTAAGCAACTCTCCGCTCATGCTTCAGCTCGCCTGTCTAGCGAGCTTCTCCATCTCCTTCCTGTTTCCTTTCATTTCGGCCTCGGCGACGTCCCTGAAGCTTCGGGGTCCCATGTTTAAGGGGAATTTGCAGGGTTTAGGTATGCCTGGAGTCTCCATGACCCTGAACAAATGTGTCCATGACCCCTGTATTTTGGGCAGTGACCAACCATTTTTGAGGTCATGGAGACTCCAGGTGGATGTTCCTTGACGTCAGGTAAGTAGGTGGTAAGAGCACGTGGGTTTCGCGCATCCGCTAGGCCCCGGGTTCCGAACTAGATCGCCCATATTGGTACATGTGCAAGCGGCTTGTTTCCAAAGCTCCAGTTGCTGAAGTCCCCTGGAAAACAATATGTCCAGTAGTGATGGGAGTCCCTTTAAAAACAACAGGGAACAAAAAAAACAACGGAAAAATGACAGCAATTTGGGATACAACCCCAGGCGAGTTCTAGTTACATCGGGACCCCCAAACCAAGTACTCCTTTCACCCGCTTGAACCCAAGAGCTTCACCATTTTACTGTGTGTGCCGGTTTTCCTTAGTACCGCCCCCCCCCCCACTAAGCCACTGAGAAATGGTGGGTCCTGGTCTCCTGCCATGGCTCTCCTGGCAGAGCCTTCGGCGGGGATCGAAAAGGGGATGCCTTTGGGGCCCCACAATCAGCGTCTTCTCAGCAAAAACAAGCCGCAGACTAAAACCTGGATTGAAGTCAACGGCCATCATCACGGGCCCGAGCTGGTTCCCCATTGAGCTCGCCAAAGGCAGAAACATGACATACATTGTGCCTGTCAATGTCCACCTCTATAATCCACTTTTCCAATACCCTACTTTAGAAACCAGCAGATCAAGCGCCTGAGAAAGACACGAACCAATAGCACCAGAGCAACCTCAGGCCCTCACTCCAAAAAAAAACAAAAAAATGACAACCCCAAATCCCCCCCCCCGAAACCGCCCGAAATTCCCCCGCCCCCCCCCCCAAGCTCGGGGAGCCCGCATCCAGAGCGGACAACATGAAGTAGCCTGGCACGCGGCTGGCTGAGAAACCCAAAGTTCTTTCGCCTCGTTTCTCTAGCCCCCCCCCCCGAGGTCCTCCAGTAGGGAGGTTAGTATACCATGTTCTTTCTTTTTTGTCTATTTTAGTAGGAGAACCCTCCCCCAAACAAGTTGGTAAAAGGGCACCACCGGGGGACCTATCCCCCTTTGCGCCATTCAAGGCAGCCATGCCCTAACACTTCGGAGCTGGTCTTTTGAAGTCCCAGGTGGTGAAACCTGTCACTGTCTTAGGGGACATTCAAAGCGAGCCCGTCTTGAGCAAAGCTTAGGCCGTGGGGAGTCTTCGGAAGCTACAGCTTGAGATCGGCAAACATGTTTCAGGCAAGAGGTGCCCCTTTCGTGGTTTAGGAAACCAAAAGGAAGCCCCCCCCCAAAAACAAAAACAAAAAGTGGTCCGCCAGAAAACATGCGCATACCCATGGAGAATTCCGAAACCTGAAATCAGGCCTTCCCAAGCTTTCGGAGCATTTTGACTGTTACCCTGTTACCCCCAGATTGATAGGATATGCGTGCAACCCATCAGGGGCAAAATCCTGCAGGGATGTCAAACAGGAACACGTCCAATGTTTCCCAAAGAGTCGGCTTGAGCCTACAGCTTTATTTGGCAGTAACGAGGCTTGAAAAACCCCTTCACTGTTGGGTCTTTCGAGGGATTGAGCCCCTGTGTAAGGACCATCTACCTGGAATCTCCTTCTGACCCTTTAAAGATGGGTCCATGTCCCATTTCCTTATTTTGGGTAATGGCCAAGCAGTTGTGTCCCACTTTGCGGGTGGGAAACCCAAAGGGAAAATAATTTTGTGGGTTAGCTTAAAAGGACACCGAAAGGGAAAAACTGACTGTAATTAATGGTGTTCTCCCATTTTTTGAGACATACCCAGAAAATGCCAATATGCGCGGCCGAACTTGCGGGCTATCCGCGGCCCAGCTGAGAAGCATGGAGTGACTTGGGATACAGGGTTTCCCATATTAAATAGCATTCTCCACGACCCTTAATAAATTGTGGGTTATTACCCAAAATAAGGGGGGGCATGGACCCATTTTTGAAGGGTCAGAAGGAGACTCCAGGTAGACACACGCGGATAGATCTACATGAAGCCTCAGCTCTTGCAAGTCCTTGATTCCGCGCCAAGGCCCTCAGAAGGATTCGGAAGGGAGGATGGATTGGTTCCTGGGGGCGAATGTGAATCACCACCGCTGTCCGAAATCCACTGGTAAAGGTAGCATGTCTCACACCTGCACACAACCAATCTGGTTTAATATCGGTAGTCTGAATGTCAAGTTTCCCCGGCTTAAACACGACCCCCGCACTGTTTCGGTACCATGATTTATGTCAAGTTCAGGCCCCCGAAATTCGCGGTCCCAAAAGTCTGAGCAAGATGCGCAATATGGGCAACTGATTCTCCTGAGCGCAAACTCTGCAACATCTAAAAGCTTAGCAACGGACCAGGCCAAGACCTGAGCCTAAGAATTCCTGGTTTGATCCTAAGCCCCAACCATCAAAATCCTTTATATACTTAAATCCATCAAAAACACTCCCAAAACAGTCCTGCATCTTTAAGGGACACTGTTTGGGTACCATGTTTAATGTCCATCAAGTCTTAGGGGCAACCCAAAAAGAAGTGCTGGCAATACTAAATTAAGTAGTGGCAATGCTAAACCAAGTAGTGGGCAATCCTCGAGCACTGTTTTGACTGTTTGAGGGGGGGGGGCCACAGTAAACAAGGTTCAACATTAGCTTTGGGCTAGGTTATTATTATTTTCATGGTCTTCCTTTTGAAGCTAGCTAAAGTAAACTATTTACTTGTTTATATTGGGTAGAGCACTGCTTGTGTTTTGCTTGCACGCTGAGGTGAAAGCTAAAAGGAGCACCAGAAATTGACCGCTCTTGCGGAGGTCTTGCCTTTTGCCTGATTGGCAGACCTTTCGGCAGAAAGCCTCTGCGCCCTTTGGCCCAAGTCCTTTGCCGCTTTCCAGGACTTGACAAACTTGCTGTCCGCCATGATGTGCAGTGGCGTCGCATCAAAAAAAAGAGAAAACAGGCAACTCAAAAATTAGAAGGGTGAAGCAACTGCTTCATGCCACCCCTCCATTTATATGAAGGACGGCCCCTGTCAAGTCGATGTTTTGTTCTCAGGACGGCAATCCTGATCAATGAATTATAGAGCCATAGAGAATGCTTCTCCCAAACCTGTCGCAAGCAACTGGCAAAAGGACCACCCTGAGAAATGACAGCAGGGCTCATCAAATTCATGCAAAAACAATGCATCAAAAAAGAACCTGGGCAATGTCTTCGTGGTTCTTGCTAGCTGCAAATTAAACCGCACCATTAGTGTTCTTTTTGGATCGTGAGAACGCTGGATCTCCCCTGCAAATTAAACCGCAGCATTGACAATGTTCTTTTGGCTATGACACCTTCCAAGAGCAAATCGTCAGAACCCTGGACCCTGGACCTAAGACCCCTCCACACCCTTCGGGCCCTGGCCTTCTTTTGAAAGACCCACTTGGGCCTCTGAGGCCCGGCGATTCTTCGCGAAGCTTTGATCAGAAAACCCCACGGACAAACCTGGCAGCGCGGCTGTTGGCGTAGTCGTCCATGAGGATGTGGCCGTACCTAGCATGGCACAGAAAAATCGAAGAAACAAAAATATAGATTGGTACATCCCCGTGTCTTTTGTTTTTGCGCTTCATGATGTGGTCAACATGATAACTCACCAAACAAAGAACTAGGGGATCGCCGGTATGACCTTCACGGGTGACGTCGCAAAGCCCCAGGCAACATGCAATGTTCAACTCCTGACTTTTGTGGGGCCTCGGAAGTGTTCAAAAGGCCGCGCACTTGGAGAATCCGGGGTCAGAAACCAAGGGTGTGGAGAACCCGGAATTCCCCGTACACCCCGAGTGGCTTTAGGGGTGTCAAAGGACCTATTTTGAGGCCCCATATTCCAACAGGACCCTGAAACCTAAATTGATTCTTCGCAACCTTTCCCTTGCGAAGAATGTTGATCAATTAACTTTTGACCACAAACTCAAGGGCACCCCTCACGAAATGCCCTGCTGGGGTTTCCCAATATATGTGATCCACCGATTTTCTGGGATTAGACCAGGAAAAAGTTTGCCCTCAGCCGCAAATGTTCACAAGCCTCTACGTATCAAAGGACCCTCTTTCCACCCCCAAAAAAGTTGTATAGCCTGAAAACACACACACACACACACACGCACGCACGCACGCACGCACGCACGCACGCACGCACGCACGCACGCACGCACGCACGCACGCACGCACGCACGCACGCACGCACGCACGCACGCACGCACGCACGCACGCACGCACGCACGCACGCACGCACGCACGCACGCACGCACGCACGCACGCACGCACGCACGCACGCACGCACGCACGCACGCACGCACGCACGCACGCACGCACGCGCACGCACGCACGCACGCACGCACGCACGCACGCACGCACGCACGCACGCACGCACGCACGCACGCACGCACGCACGCACGCACGCACGCACGCACGCACGCACGCACGCACGCACGCACGCACGCACCCACACACACACACACACACACACACACACTCACGTGGGTGTGTCTTGTTTTGAGGGTGCCAGTTTGGCGGCTTAGGGTACACCCCTTTCGTTTGTGCCAGGAGGGTCAAGAACTTAAAGGACCCAGAAACGAACGGTTCACTTTTTGGGGCGACTAAAAAATGGGCCAAAACTGGAAAAACCAAAGCTCAAAAGGTCGGCTTTGGGCAAGAGATTGCAAGATATACATTCATCCAGCTCTGAAACGACTTCGTACTCAAAATCAGATGTTTAAATGGCAGATATTGTTGCGAACCTTCTTTCTTGGGTATAGGAATGCAGTCTCGCGCATTCTGTGCGGTGAAAAGCATGTCTGCAAACTCCCGCTCATTGCGCTGCTCGATCCTCTTTTTGCCATGCCATTGGTAGAGCGTGATCCTGCACTGCGCGAATCACCGGGTCTTCAACCAAAACTTAGACCACGTTTGTCCCCAACTGACATTGGATTTTGGTGACCTCCATTACCTGGTAATTTGGGTGTGACCCATGTCATCCCTACAGCAAAACATCAAGAAAGATTGACCGTTGCTCGTTTGCTTCTTCCCCCAACCCAGTTCTTTCCAGGCCTGGTTGCCTGCTACCGCAACTGGAAGCACACGTGGCTTGCTTTTTCCCCAACAGTTGAAGGCTATGGATTGGTCTCCCTGCCCAAACAGGCTCGTTCGGGGTGGTTTGGGGCAGTGTCAGGGAGGGTTCCAAAGATTCGGTTGCAGAGGGGTTCCCTTTGGGCTGTTGGAGGCCCTCGACCGGGGCTTACTTTTAGAGGACCGCCCCTGGGATCCGACTGGATCCGACGGGGCTTCTGTGGATTCCGAAGTCGACACTGTGGATGGTGGCAAAATCAGCAAAAATCTCGGAATCTTCAGAAACCCCACGGAATGATACTGTGGATGGACGAAATCCATTTCGCACCACCGTTTCAGAAACCCTGGAATGATGAGTCGCCTGTAAAAAACCAACAAACAATGGATTCATGGTTTCAAAGTCCACAGTATGACTCCCCGCAAATACTGTGAAAAACTGCTTTGCTTTCCTTCAGCCATGGTCTCAAAACCGGTGCGAAGATGTGGTCCACACTATCCCCAGCGAAGTCCTCACATGAATTATGGACCCCACGCGAACTGTAGCGTTTTTTTTCTTGATGACAGACCCGTCGGGTCCGAAGCGGACGCTCTCTAGAGACGGGCAAGGCTTAGGAGATCCTAGGCATTTACTGCCTTATAGCACCCTAGGATAGGAAGCCTATCATCCTAGTAAGTGCTTGATATCCCTCACCTAGAGTGCTCTCTAGAGATATCAAGCACTTACTAAGTGGGGCGGTCCTAGCAGAGGTAACAAGTCTCGTG